TCCCTACCCCAATGGCTCTCAGAGTTTCCCCAGTGTTTTCTAGGAGTAGTTTTATAGTTCTAGGTCTTAGATTTAGATCTCTGATCCACCTTGACTTGATTTTTGTCAGAGGTGAGAGGGGTAGGGAATCAGATTAATCTTTCTGCAGGTGGAAATCCAGTTTTGCCAGCACCATTTGCTGAAGAGGTTTTCCTTTCCCCACTGGATTGACTGGTACCCCTTGTCAAAAATCAGTTGACTGTATGTTTGGGCAATTATTTCTGAGGACTCTATTCTGTTCCATTGGTCCACATGTCTGTTTCTGTGCCAATACCATGCTGTTTTGATTACCACAGCTTTGTAGTATATTATGGAGTCAGGGAGTGAGATGCTGCCCACTCCACTCTTCTTGTGTAGAATTGCTTTGGCAATATGGGGTCTTTTATGAATCTGGACGAATTTTATGATTTTCTTTTCTAGATCTGTGAAGAATGTGTCTGGTAGTTTGACTGGCATTGCATGAAATATGTAGATTAATTGGGGTAAAATTGTCATTTTGATTATATTAATTCTTCCAATCCAAGAACATGGGATGTCCTTCCACTTTTTTTTGGTGTCATTTTCAATTTCTTTTATTAGCTTTTCATAATTTTCCTTGTGGAGGTCTTTAACTTCTTTGGTTAGATTTATTCCTAAGTATTTTTTATTTTTTGTGACTATGGTAAATGGAATAACTTTTTTCAGTTCTATTTCAGTCTGCCTGTTTTTTGTATATAGAAATGCTATAGATTTCTGTATATTGATTTTGTATCCTGCAACTTTTATTACTTCCAGAAACCTTTTCATGGAAACCACTGCGTCTTCTATGTATACAATCATGTCATCTGCAAATAAAGAGAATTTCACCTCTTTTTTTCCTGTTTGAATGCCTTTTATATTTTCCTCTTTTCTGATTGCATCGGTGAGGACTTCTAGTACTATATTGAAAAGGAGTGGAGAAAGTGGGCATCCTTGTCTTGTACTCATTTTCAGTGGGAAAGCTTTCAGCTTTTCTCCATTCAGGATGATGTTTGTGATGGGTTTTTCACAGACAGCTTTTATTGTATTGAGAAATGACCCTTGTATGCCGATTTTACTGAGAGTCTTGATCATGAAGGGTTGTTGTATCTTATCGAATGCTTTTTCTGCATCAATAGATATGACCATACGGTTTTTATCCTTATTCCTGTTGATATGATGTATTACATTTATGGTTTGGGGTATGTTGAACCAACCTTGCATTCCTGGAATAAAGCCTACCTGATCATGATGTAGTATCTTGTTTATAAGTTGTTGGAAACAATTTCCTAGTATCTTGTTGAGAATCTTTGCGTCTATATTCATCAGAGATATTGGTCAATAGTTTTCCTTCCTGGTCCTGTCCTTATCTGTTTTAAGGATAAGGGTGATAGAGGCTTCATAGAATGAATTAGGGAGAAGTTCACCCTTTTGGATCTTAGAAATAACTTGAGCAGAATGGGGGTTAACTCTTCTTTGAAAGTTTGATAGAATTTCAAGGTGAAGCCATCAGGGCCAGGGCTTTTCTTTGTTGGAAGGTTATTTATTACTGATTCAATCTCCTGTCTTGTTATGGGCCTATTCAGACTTTCTATATCCTCCTGGCTCAATCTTGGTAGATTATACATGTCCAGGAATTTGTCCATTTCATCCAGATTGTCTTGTTTCTTGGCATATAGTTGTACATAGTATCCTCTAATGATGTTTTGTATTTCTACTTTGTCTGTTGTTTTATTGCCTGCTTCATTGCAGATTTGATTCTCCT